TGATTTGCTAGATGAATTTCCAATCTACTAGGATAAGCTCTATCCCATCTCTGATGACAATATTTACAAGTTGCTTCATAATGGCCCCTGGTTTTTTCATCTCCTTTTGTAAAAAGGGTCCAAACTTCTGACAGCATGTTTTCTTTTGTTATTTGACAATTCTGGTGTAATTGATGAAATTTCATATATATCATCATTTTCTTGTTGAAAATAATTATCTAAAGTATTTGATGTTTCTTTATCAGATACCATTATTTTAAAAAAATTTTCAGTAATAAATTTTTACTATAAAAATATCCCACGCACAAGTGATATATATATCACATGGTAATAAATCCAAATTATTTTCGTGGAAAGGTTATTTAATAGACGGGTTTGATTATTTCATTATTAAATTGTTAATGTTAATATATAATTATTAATGCAAATACTGGCATTAATTATTGGTAAAGTAATATTATCATTATATGCTTTATGAATCATTTGTTACACAAAAGGCATGCACATTTTATAGTATCGGCACATAGATTTAGTTACGTAGATTTAGTTTCGGCATTTTGTTTGCTTGCTTGAAAACCGAAACTAAATTTTTTAATTTGCAGAAACTATTGCCGAAATTTAGTAATTTAGGCAAACTTTTATAATTCCAACCTCTTCCCTTTTTTCTAATATTATATTATTGTTACATACTTACATACTTATATCATCTTTAATTATCTATATGTATATATTAATCTGGATAAAATACTGCATCTACAAAACACGTGGCAATAAAAATTTTATTGTCTCAAAAACTGCCGTTGTGGCGCAGAAAGTTGTAGGGACAAGTGTCTTGCACCTATAGAACAAACGAATTTATTCATTTCAAGTGAGCCTTTTATCAAAAATAAAGAGGAAAAATAAATCATTTGATTAAATTTACCCAATTCATCCGTGGCATTCATTCATTACATATGAAAATGAAGATCAATTACATCATACCTCATAATAATGATATATTGTAAAATTTGCTAAATATGGAAATGAAATGAATTAAATTTCGATTGTTTTTTCTTTACAAAAACTATAATTTATATTAAACTTCATTACATCACTAATAAAGTTAACGCTATTCCAAAAATTTATTTAATTGTATTACGACTACCCATACAATTTTTTAGGGGTTTTTTCCTAATATTTGATTAACTGTCAAATAATATAAAAATTTTTTTTTACATTTTCTTTTCCTTTATTTTTTATTTCAAGTTTTTTTTATTACATAATTAATAATTTAATTCGTTCTATTCTATATTTAATACTAGATTTACCTTTTTTTTTCGTCATTTAATTTTAAAGAATTTTTTTTTTAAAATGATCGAGCAACTTAAAAATTTTATTCGTCATGGTAAACAGGCAAAACCTTTTCAAGAAAATCCAAAACAACTGAATCCCGAAGAAAATTTTAGAGAGAATCCAGAAGTAAAATCAAGAGTAGATGATGCAACCGTTGCTATGATCGTAGCGGAAGAAAAAGAAGAAAAAAATAAAATTCCAACGTATCCTGGTTTAGAAAGATATATATTCTTGGAAAAAATGGGAGAGTAAGTTGAAAATAACAATAATAATAATTGATCCTTTATATATATATATATATACACATATATATACGAGACATTGAAATAAATGTGTTAGGAAAACAATAAAAAGCTTTAATTTTTAACTTCTAACTTAACAATAACCAAAAAACTTTTTTGATAGTGGTGCATTCAGTAATGTGTATAAAGTATTAGATACAAGTGAAAAAAAGAAAGTTGCAATTAAAGTGGTGCGTAAACGTGAGCTTAATCTTTCACAGGTACAAAAAAAAAATCAATATAAGTATAATGATGATGACTATTTTACATTTTAATGATAGGAAGAGCAATTTTTATGGATTGTGATTTTTTGAATTAATTGGAAATTGAAAACTTTTCACATTTTTTCAATTGTTTTAATTTTTACGATGACACAGTCCATTCATTCTTTTTTTTTTTACTCTTATTGTTATTAACTTTATTGGTACAGGAGAAACATCTTCATCGTGATATGAAAAAGAAGCCTCGTGCTATTGAGGTTAGCTAAATATTCAATAATGATGATATTAAACACAAGCGAAAGTTATGAAAAAATTAGCAAATTTTAAAAATAACATTAATAAATTGATCAAATATCATTTATTTAATAGATTAAATTTTAAAATTTAATAATAACGATGAGCATTTACTTGACTCTTTTTACAAAAAATAAAAATCTAACTTTAGTCTCGCCCATTTTTATATATTTGTATTTATTTAGAGAGCCAACATTCTTAAAGAAGTACAAATAATGCGTCAATTGAAACATCCATCAATCGTTTCCTTATTATCATTTTCTGAATCAACAGATTATTATTATCTTGTTATGGAATTGATGGAAGGTGGAGAGCTATTCCATCAAATTGTTAAACTTACTTATTTCTCTGAGACTTTAGCAAGGCATGTTATTGTTCAAGTAGCAGAGGGAATAAGATATTTGCATGAAGAAAAAGGTGTTATTCACAGGTGATTTATTGATTTTTTTTTAAACTATTTTTTGTTCATTAAATAAATATATTCATTCATTCATCTATTCAAATACTTAAAAATTTAGGGACATAAAACCAGAAAATCTTCTTTTTGATTCTATTCCAATCATTCCTTCCAAGAATCCACCACCACCAAGTCCCTATGATGAGTATAAAGAGGATGAAGGTGAATTTATCTCTGGTGTTGGTGGAGGAGGTATAGGAAGAGTCAAAATAGCAGACTTTGGGTTATCAAAGATAGTATGGGATGAACAGACAAAGACACCTTGTGGCACAGTAGGATATACAGCACCCGAGATTGTCAAAGATGAAAGATATAGTAAAAGTGTTGATATATGGGCACTTGGATGTGTTCTATATACATTATTATGTGGATTTCCTCCATTTTACGACGAAAGTATTGACGATTTAACCGAGAAAGTTGCTAAAGGCGAATATACATTTTTAAGTCCTTGGTGGGATAATATTTCGGATTCATGTAAGTTATGTTATAAATTAAAATTAAAGTGCGCGTGTATAAAAATAGACTATTTATTCATTTAAAAAAACTTTTCTTAGCAAAAGACTTGGTTTCAAATCTTCTTGCAGTTGATCCTGAAAAAAGATATACAATCAATCAATTCTTTGCACATCCATGGGTTAAAGATGAGGTAATTAGATAATATATTTAATTTATATAATTTAAAATAATAATAATAATAATAATTATTATTATTATCATTTTAGCCATTCCAACCAAGAAACAATTCAGCAAAAGATAAACGTATTGTTAGATTCATAGAAAAAGATAACCGACAACAAAAACTAAAACTTGACTCACCGCTTATTTATGAAGAAGTATTAGGCACACCAGGGGAAATCATTAGACGTAAAGATGTATTGTCACCAGGTATTTCTTTGAAGGAAGCATTTGATGTCGGTTTTACTATACATCGAATGGAAGAAGAGAGTGCTAGAAAAAGAAAGTTGAAGGCTATGAAACCAAATAATGCATTTTCAACATTCACTGCCAAATTAAACCCTTATACAACCGATAGTGATGATGAAAGTGAAACAGCATCATCATCAGAAAAATTATCTGTCATCGGTTCTAAAAATACCACCGCTTCTACCACCACCAGTACTACCAGTGGTAATAAGGCTACTACAAAGCAACCGGTTAAAATGAAAACAGGAACAGGTGTTGGATTTTCTCAATCACTGGGAACAAACAAACATGCTAAAGAAACATCAAGACGTAAAGCGTTTGAGTTAAATATGGAAGGTGCGACTTTATTAGGGAGAAGACGAAAAGCTTTAGAGGCAGGTGGTATTTAAAAGATTGTGCATAATATATATATTTCCTTTTAAAAAGTTGAGGACAGGGTTTTTTTTTTAATAAAGAAATAATTAATATATTTATTATTTATTTATTAAATTTATTAACAAACAAAAAAAGGAATTTTTAATTAAACATAGTTTATTTTGTACATATTTGCTTGAAAATATAATATATTTTACCTTTTTACAATCAATGTCAATAATATAATAATTAAAAAGCAATTAATTAACAACAGTACATTAGCAGTAGGAGCGGGAACATAACAATTTTAACAATTTTTTATTTTTTACTTTTTTTAAATTTTTTTTTTTATTTAATATTAAAATACAATTAATAACACGTAACTCACGTGATTAATAAAAAAAGGTTCTACTTTTATTCTTACCAGTTGCATTAGAATTAGAATTGTTTGTCAAATAAATAAAATATCAGTTTATTAACAAGTGGAAAACATATATAATAATGAAATACCAACTATTTTGTTAAATCTTTTAGATATTGAGTGTGTGTTGAAGAAGTGTTGTCCAGTTAGAGTTGTGGCACTTTGACTGTCGAAATATATTTGCCAAGGTCACTTGATTTGCAATTAAAATAATGCTGAAACATGCCTAAATATCTGTCAAATGTCCAAATATCGATCAATTTAAAAATTGACAAAATGTATTAATATGATTGGGGTACGTATTACTTTACCGACAACATACGGTGCATCATTTATCATTTTATTAGTTGTTTGATTATGTGAAGGTTAAATGTACCCCCAGGTTGTCGGTAAAATGAATGCCTCCATATGATTTACGATTTGCAAGAGTTGTATAAATCTTAATGATTGGGAAATTGATTAGAATGGGCAATTCTCAACAATAATGCCGATTAATTGTATATATTGATTGCATTCATTTCTTGGATAATTTTTTATCATGCTAAATTGTTATAAATATAAAATTTGCGCTTAATCTCTTTTTTTAGTTTTATTATTTAGATGTTTTAATATTGGTTACATTGTTTAAATAGTTGAGCCGCGCTGACTGGCGGTTTACTAGCATTCAATCAATGTCCTCTTGAATCTGTAAAAGGCACATTTTAATATCATTTATGCATTTTGACAACATCTAGGCATTTCGATATTGTTTAGTAGGAATTTTGACAGCTTAAATGTCGATTGACGAAATATTTTGACACCAATTATCTTGCCATTTATAATTCTACAGGATTGTTCAAGCCTAGTCTGTTGAAACACCACACACAAGTCTGCAAGGAACGATATTACAACTGTAGAATAACTTCTATGCTGTTCTCTCATATTGCCTCTTTGAGCGTAACCTTTTATACAAGAATTAACTCAGTCAGCTGTTCCAATTAGCATAATTGGCAGGATAAATGAATGTGATTTTGGACATTCAAGGGGATGAGAGATGTGATGGTTATTACATTTAGTACAAAATCCATTATGTTTTGAGACAATGATGATTGTGATGGTGGTTGTGATGACTGTGGTGATGATGTTTATTTTATAGCATGTTCTCTTATAATAATTTCTTTCTACAGCACCAAGTTTTGTCCATGTTTTCTTTGTATGAAGCTGCTGATTATGTCAATTCTTCAACTGAAACTAGGAATATTCAAAGCTCTTCAAATCTTGGAGAAGCCTTTAATGGACGCTACGAGCTACATCAATATCTGTCATGGTCTGAGCTGTTTTGTGGGTATTATCTTTTTGTGCAAGGTTCTGAATAGCTTCTAAGAGAATTCTCATTTTTGAGTATACGAGATCTCATTGATATAAAAAGCTGTAATCTTAAAAGATGGTTGACTCTCTTTATCAATAATCATGTGTTCAATACCACTGTCATCTTTAAACCAAAAGCAGGTGATATCAATTAACATGTGATTCAATCCATAATCTGTTTCACTACTGCATCATCCAAGTAATAGATAATACCAAGACCATGCAGGAATGAAAATTTTAATAATGTGTATCTACCCAGGTCTCTGGAGTTCCTTAATAAATCTGTTAATAAGTTTCCTCTTTCAAACAATATTAGTTGGTGGTCTCGCATACCTTGTCCCCATGGAATTTTTTTCCATAAGCAAGCTACCGCTATATCAGAAGGCTTCAGGCAAGCGAGAAGCTTTAACCACAGGTAGAATTCTTTCGAGTTTTAACAATATCTACTTGGTAAAATAAGGAGCAAACTGGACCGTTTAACTGATGTTTCTCTAATAAACTGATGATGATGTTGGTGGCAATTTACTTTCACGTTTTACCAACATGTCATTTTGGCAAAATTCTGAATTTCTATCTGTGAACAACCTCCTTGACAATGATGCAGTTTTGATAAACTCCAGGGCCCTGGAATTTAGTTGTATTCATCATACCATCGGGAGAAACGTGGTTGGTTATATTAGCCTTATATGCGCGAGGAATATGAGAATGGCTATATTTTTAAATAAAGCAGTGTACTTTGGCATCTGTCAATTTCCGATAATCAAATGTTGCATACCAAGCTGTTTGATGATCCAAATTGTTCAAGCGTGTTGTTTTTCCTCCCCTCTACTTAATATTAACAACGGTTACGCAGACAAATCGTTTATTTGTTATGATAGAGAATCTTATAATAACTAACTTTATAGAAGACATAATAAAACTTGCTCCACGTTTTGATTTCAGTAGGATATTTGTAATAAGATATTTATAAAAAAAAGATATCAATACAAAAAAAAAGTACCTGTGGTTGTTAATAAATAACTCATTATCTTCAGAACCAATCATACCAAATACGAATTTATTAAAAATGACTGTTTTTACGAGCTATTCTAAAATTTATTACCAAACATTAATGGCTTATTACAGATTTACAAACTCAAACTTCAACTAAGTCATCTTATTTCTGCTGAACAAAGCAATTCAAATACCCGAGACAAAACACAACTAACCAAAAAAAGGAATATAAATTCCTTGGAATTCGATAAAGGTAAATAATATTGTTAAAGGACGGCTGTTTTTTTACGGGCTATTCTAGTAATAATAATATTTTTTTTTACGTGCTTATAAAACATAAAAAGAAAGAAAAAAGTTTAACAAGCAAATATTATTAGAGAATGATTGTTTTGAGAGCTATTCTAGTTATTTATAAACATTGTCTTTAGTGAAGGATAATTAGATTACCTTTTCTTAGATTAGACCATTGACATTATTATATTCTCTTCAATCAAATCCTTTTTTTTTAATGTATACATATAAGTGATACAACATAGATTTGATTTGTTTGAGTGAACGGATCTATTAGGAAATATTATCTTGGGTCAATATTAACATTTATTGGAGTATTCTTATAATGTGATCGGTGGTGCAAAAGTGTAATAAAAACTAATTGTCAATCTTTACACCAAAGTTTCGTCGTACTTTTTGCGCCACAGGTGATGTGGCCTTTATATATGAATAAAATTGTTCTGATGAAAAAAAAACTTTTCTTTGTAGGAAACCCATCTAACAAATTTTACTTGTTAATCTATACTATCTACAATAATACCATTTTTGGTTAGCCGTAGCTTTCTTATAAAACCCCTTTCAATATAAAATATATATAATAATAAAGTTCTTTTATCAGTTAAGATTTTTTTTTTTTTGGTAAATTTCATAGTTAATCCTTTCATTCCTTCCAGTATCTGAATATCATATATTTTGAAAACATAAAGAACGATTTCTCTCCTTGCTCTTTCAAAATACTTTTGGTTGTACTATAATTATTGGGTTCCATAGTGAAATTAATTTCATTAATTATTTTTATATGGGAGTAATTCTATATATCACTAAGATAACAAATAGAACTTATCACAATAGCTAATTTTGACCATATTACGGATCGTCAAAGGTTTTTTTTTTACGTAAAAAAAAATGTCAGAAAACCAACAAAATGTTAAGAAAATATGGAATTTCGGAGCTGGTCCTGCCATGATTCCACAAAAAGTTTTAGAGAAGGTTCAATTGGAATTGTTAAATTATAATAATACAGGAATGTCCGTTATGGAAATATCCCATAGATCAAAAGAATTTGAAGACTTATTAAATACAGCAAAAAATAATTTAATCAAATTATTGAATATACCAAATAATTATAGAGTGTTGTTTATGCAAGGTGGTGGCCATACACAATTTTCTGCTATAGTTTATAATTTATTGGCTGCTAAGAATCAAAATGTGTCACAATCAAGTGTTGACAAGGGAGAAAAAGAAGCATTTAATCCACCATTAGATTACATAATAACTGGTTCTTGGTCAGCCAAAGCTTTTGAAGAGGCTAAAAGATTATATAATAATGTTAATGTAGTGATTGATGCTAAAAAATTTAATGGATCTTATGGATCTATTCCATCAAAAGAACATTGGAAACTTAGTGGTTCAAAGGCTGCTTATGTCTATTATTGTGATAACGAGACTGTCAATGGTGTTGAATTCAATCATGTTCCTGAAGTGGATCCCGAGGTTCCATTAGTATGTGACATGTCTTCAAATATTCTATCTCGTAAAATTGATGTTTCAAAATTTGGGTTAATTTATGCTGGTTCTCAAAAAAATATTGGCCCTGCGGGTGTAACTATTGTGATAGTTCGTGAAGATCTTTTGACTAAACCCAAATCAATAACAACACAAGATACCACCAATGTTCCCATTGTACCAACTATGCTTGATTATAAAACAATGGCCGATAATAATTCTTTGTATAACACACCACCTGTTTTTGCTATTTATGTAGCAAATTATGTATTTGAATGGTTATTAGAAAATGGTGGGATTGATTCCATTGAAAAAGAAAATGCTATCAAATCATCGAAACTTTACAACATGATAACAAATTCAAAAATTTATCAGTCTCCTGTTGAGAAATCAGTTAGGTCAAGAATGAATATACCATTTCGTATTGATCCACCTGAATTAGAAAAATTTTTTTTGGATGGTGCAGCTCAATTGGGGATGGTTCAATTGAAAGGTCATCGTAGTGTTGGTGGCATTAGAGCAAGTATTTATAATGCAATGCCTTTACAGGGTGTAGAAATATTAATTGAATATATGATTGATTTTGAAAAAAAGAATTCTAAATAAGTATTTCATCATCATCACTATTATACTGATCATAGCTTACAACTTTTAAAAAATACTTGTTATAATTAAATTAAATTAAATTAAATATTTTTTTTTATTCTTTTCCTCATCATTGCAATTATTCATTCACCAATCTTTAACAAAACATAGTATAACTTGGAATTATTCACTACATAGATTTAATTAATGTATATTTGTATGTATATACTTAGTAATTAAATCGCTCACCTCTTGTTTTTTCTTCAATAATAATTTTGCGCCATTTATTTTTTTCAGTTATTGGTAATAAGGATCATTTTAAGATCTTTTTAATGTAATCAGTTTCTTTCTTGACAATATTTTCTAATAAATTATCAGTATCAGTTATGAATTTGTAATACATCAACAAGTTGTAAACCAGCCTATATATATTAAAAATTTAGTAAAAATAATTCCTTTGAATAATCATAAAAGATAATTGATTGCCTTTTTTTTTAACTTTTGTACAAAATTCACAATTTCACATGCCAATTTTTCCTCTTGTAAATCTTGATACACTTTAGAATCTTCCAAGTATTTGACCACTTAAAGATCTTCATCAACCAATTTTATACTATCAACCACAATATCTTTGGCTTTTGGCAATGCATTTTTAACTTTCACTACATCTTTTATAAGTTTGCACCTAAAACTTTCCAATCTGCTTCTACTTTATATTGATTCCATATTTATCTTCTTCAGACATTACAAGAAGATTTTTATATTCAATTCCTAATTATGTTATTTTTTAATCAAATATTGAATCATTAATGACAATTTTATTATCCAATTTTTAAAAATATAATTTTCAAGTGATAAAACATCTGAATAATATTGAGTATTTGAGTGTACAACAATAAGTTCTTTTGATGGTGTCTAGTTAATCAGATAAAAGAAAATAATAATAACAATAATTAGCATAATTTTTCCTTAAAATATTTTCTTTGGGAAAAGTCAAAAATAATAACATTAATAACCTTTAGACTTATATTCTCTTTTTCATGAATGATTCCACCCAATTCAATAATTGTTTGCATTTGAGACATACTTTGTTCAATTCCTGAATCAAAATATTCATTTCTAACCTAGTAATAGTAATGCAGAAAAAAATCTATAGCTAATTATGGCTTCATAGAAAGTCATCATTACTGCTGCTACTGCTGCTGCCACCAGCCAGACTATTGCAAGTTCAAATCAATTAAGAGCCAATGAGTTATGAATTAATTTAAACCAAGAAAATCAAAAAAATTTGAAACAATTAGTCTAACTGTTGACAAAACTAACTGATAGAAAAAGTAGAAAAATAGTTAGCATACTGTTTGGCTATAATAGATAGATATACTAAATTAGCTTCAACTGACTTTTTAAAAAAAGCTAGATCAATATCTTAAATAGTTGTGTTTTGAATTTCTATAGCATATTTAGAAATGTGTCATGCGCATGATTTCTTTTCAAATCGTGCAATGTCAGGACCCCCCGCAACTATATAGATAGGTTACTGCCGCAGCTGGGTCAAATCTTGGGACCTAAAATTTTACTATTAGAAAGGTAAAATTACCAGATTTGGAAGGATTGTCTCCAATAAGCCAATCACGGTGTGGGTCAAACCCTATCTACGGTGCAAATCATCTATGGTGCGCCGTATCTAAAGACATCAAATGCTGCGCCTCATGCCGAAATTTTTAACACCGATCTTTCCTGATTAA